TGAAATTTAAAAAAAATATATTATTTTATGATAAACATTGAATAATCAGTAATGTAATTTATTTAATTTATTTTAGATGTAGATTATATACTATGTATAACTTGAATTATACACCAACAACTTTGGGGGTACAAAGTTGGAAGAGAAATTATATCTGGAGGTACACGAACAAAAAATGATTGAATACCACTGCCCTAGTCCACCTGATAGTGAACATTCCCCCTGCACCACCCCAGAAACGACTTCCACCCACAGGGCTTTTCTCCTGGTCTGTGGACAGTACGTCAAACTTGAAGCATGTCTGAATCCTGTTATCATACATCTATAATTTATTTTCGTTAATGAACCAGGTGCACAAGACTTTCGTAAGACCTTCAATTCGTGAAAGCAGAGGAACCTCAGCGGCAAGAACGACATAATTTTTATCGAAGGCAGTGAACATGATCACAATCTTTATTGTCTGGGTTTTAATTATTATTTTCGATAAGTAGGCATACACATTGGCAGACCGGAACCTGTACTATTAAATACGTCCTTCATAACACATTCTGCAAGCGTCTATAACTTTGCACGAAACCGCCATGTACACGTGGACTTTTATCATCATCGTCTTCATATATTTCGCACTCGAGGTGAACACGCCTTTCAATTTTTACACTGTTTCTCCTCCTTCGTTCTATCATACTTTGCAAAACCATTTTCTTCCGACCTCTTAAAACGATAGCACCAGTTCAGATTGTATTCGATTATTATTCTTGGGACGTCAAATATATTTAATTATATTCTGTGTTCTCTTTTTTTAAAATGGTCAATGCTCCTTTATTCGATATAACCTGGAAAATCCTCTCTTCTAATATTCGCCGTATATACATTTACGTAACGTTTGCTTTGTCGGTTTTACTCAGTGCTTCCAGCCAATGCCGGAGCAGTATCAACGTTTAAGACGTGCAGTAGAACACCGATCATCCAACGTAATTGAGAGAAAGGATCCCGATAATCGAAAAACACAGTTAATAAAATTAAATTTTATTACAATTATCATGATACTAGCCACGGTGGTCTAGCAGTTAGAACGCTGGCCTTGTAATCCTGGGGTCTCGGGTTCGATTCCTGGCGGTGCCCGAATTTATAACTTGTGTTGGGCAAGGCCGTGGTCTAGGCAACACGGGGGCTTCCCCGGTCTCTCCGTGGCATCCCAACAATTACTCCATTCACACACAGAAGAAGGCAATGGCAAACCACTTCTGGATCATCTGCCAAGAACGTATATGAACAGGTCCCAGTCCGAGAAAAGGATGTAAGGATGCTGTTCATATGGACCTGTCGTCAGACAGAACACTAAAATAATAATAATAAATATCATGATAATATATAAAATAATGAGGGTGCACATATCTGTACACAGAAACATACGTATTGACATTACATTTATAAAAATACTCAACATTCTTAAAGACATTTTAACAAACCCCGTCATTTGTTTAATCCATACGAGCGCCATCTTCATATCAGTCACCGCGAAAACCTGAAATAGCAGTTAACTGTAAAACGAAACTATGCCGTTATAAGTGCGTGTTTTCGTTCAGAACCATATATTATTTAATACTGGAATAGGAGGTGTCATGGTTACAGCATGCATAACAGCCTCTACATTCACACACAAGGTTTTTCTTCCTTTCAAGTCTACAATCAGCTATATTCAGTTGTACTTACCATTTGTGGGCCGCCCCTGCTGCAACGGTGCGTCGGTGAACTAGAACGTCACATAACTCCATTTGCACACACTTGTAAAGTTCACTACATTCTGTATACTTTTCAACGAGTGTAAAATAACAGAACGACGTAAACACGATTTGTATAGGCTGGATTTTGAGTTTACTATCGCTTTGGTCCTCATGCTGTAGTAACTTTATTTTGAGTTACGCTTGCGTTAGAACGTTCTGTAGCAGCTCAATAGCTTCAAAAATGTTTATTTCATGAAATATCACTTTTAATGTAAGCAGTTATAACTTGTTAACACACACACTTTTAATTTTCGATAATTATAAATTCTCCCGTGCATCTGACAACCAGCCTGTCTTCCACTGTTACAAATTCTTTCAATGTTAACGCGTTTTGTGACTGGTGATATAATGGATTCTGGTGTAAAATCCCGGAAAATTACAAAAAAGAATGTTAATTAGTTCTTATCACGTTATATACTAAGCCGTTTATAGTGAAACGCTGTAAACATCGGGACACATGTTCAAATGTAGCTAGAAATTCAACGACGTCATCACTGGTAATTTCAGAAATTTGAATATTTAATTTGTAAGTATATTTATGATCACCGTGCAACATTTCACACGACTTGTCTTCAATGGTCCATGAGTTATCGCAGGACACCAGAAGTTAGTATTCGCCCTGTCGCCATGTTGTTTTATAATCTACAAAGAAGACACCCGAACAAAAGTTGCATTTTTTGTATTGTATATTATCATATATAATTTGAAGGCCCTATATTAAACTAATTCCATAACGCGGGTTAATATGAACGCTGACTAAATTCGAAATTTGAATGTCTGCAACGCTTGAGTTCTTGTTCAGAAGTCTAGAAAGAAAAAGATTTTCCGACGATGGACGATGTTTTAGTGAAAGGATATCTGTCCTTGATTAGAAACACGCTTTGTATAATTAGCTCTGCCCTTTTTTTATTTTACCGAAATATAAAAAGACATTTTTTAAAAAAAATCAATTTTTGCGACAAATTTTATTTAAATTTTTTCCTGCTTTTCGATTTTTTATGTTGTAATGCAACTATGCTCTTTTAATGTCGGCGATATTAGTTTTGATTTGAGATTCAGCTTTGGTGGACTAAAATGTTGATAAATCCTGATTCATTAATAAGAGATAAAGCAAAGGGGGCTATTTACAGAGAACGATGAACTCAAATGAAACAAATATTCTAGAGCTTAAAACATCCAGCTTGGTAAATATGTTATTAATTAAGATATTTCAATTTACTAAGGCAGTCGATATGACCCCATATCTGTAAAACTGTTAATTATTTGGATTCTAAATTGTAATTTACAGGTGTAAATAAAATCCGAAGTAACTAAACCCCAAAATAGACTGTAATACAACCGTTTATACACGTGTAATAGAAATACGCATTCTAAATACAAGTTTCGAAAATTAATTGAGAGATTGAGACGTCGTTAACAACATTAAAATCGCAAAAAGTATTGCAGTGTCATAATTCAAGTTTGTAAATACTGAATTTTCTGGACCTTAGTGGGTAGAACAGCTAAAACGTAGCAACGGAGGAATAACAGACTCAACCCACTTCAAATTACGAAGCCCAGTAGACTAGTGGGTTGTAGGTCTGGAAACTGTAAACGCTCATCTGTTATTCCGGTCAAATGGACAAGTTAGTTACACGTAATCGGGCACAGTAACGATAAATATCCTATTCCAAGTCAGGTTCAATCAGTTTGTGTTTCAATATTACAACATGCACGCATCAAAAATGTATTAGACGTGGTTTTGTTTTTAAGATTATTTTTAAACTTTCATGTTGGGCCCCAATAAGTATGAAATCAATTAACAATGTTACAAATTTAAAATCCATTGCCAGAATCAAGTCTGTGTATCATATTATTTGTTTCATTTGAATAAAAATATATTATACCTTTTTAAAGCCCGCGTGTAACTATATATACCGCCTACTCAAACAATCAGTAACATTGCATTTTTTATCGACATCTTTCGTTTGATTCTCAGCGAAAACAGCGATAATGCCATTGAACAGCATTGACCAACTGATGTTTGTAATAGATAATTTTTTTTTCTTCCGAGGTGTGGACTGAATTTGGCTTCAAAGGGTTAAAAACACAGCAGGATAACGAATTGTTTTTGACAAAACCTATATACCTCGGCGTCATAATACACAACATGTACATTAGAGAAATCGAATGAAACCTATTGCTCACTTCACTTCTGTCTGAAAGAACATAACCTGTTAGAATGTATTTTATTCTACTGCTCCACTGTAGTTTTCGTAGATAACCTCACTCTCTACAGGCAAACGCTGGAACTATTTATGTTCATCTCCTCGCTGTTAGCTGGTGTAGGCTTTTGCAAATAATTCCCAACCGTGTAAGCATTTATTCAGCTCGCTACAACTGAAACATGGCATTACGACCACAAACAATGTTTTATACGGCCTTTAGTACGAATAGAGATGTTGCCACAAACAAATCAACTTACAGGTCTCCAAAAATATTTTCGAATGCATCTACGGCGAAGATTAAGATATCTTCTTTTCCTTAAAATATGAAACGGAACTTACACAGAGATGTATTTAAGTACTAAAAACACATACTCGTTGCAGAATCAACATGGACGAACAAGCGAGCTGTCAGGTGATTCGAGACTGGCAACTTGTAAGGGGAGAAGGGATAGAAGCTAAGGCTAATAACCTGAAACCCTCCGTCAGAGGCCACTGAAGTCTGTACGAAATATATCCACTGGAACCTTCTGCTTCTTCGTGCGATACACAACCCCAAGCGGGTAAAAAGTGAATGACATATTTTATTACGCAGTTACAACGCTGTTCGTTTGTTTCTTATGACGCAATTAACTTTCTACAAACGTCGGTGATATTACAAACGAAATTCTGAAATGCGAAATGCATGATGCCATTCAATTCATAAGCTTCTCTGTGTTCTACTTCAGAATACTGAAATAGAAATAAATATGATTTTCTTTATTGTGAAACATGGCCTCTCACTCCGAGCACTGAACTTTCTGCGGTTTGCCTGCCTCGTATTCAGGAGTTCCCGGGTTCAAACCTCAGCCGTACACTACAAATATCAACTGGTTAAAGCTTTTTAAGAAAATAATTACTGTATATTCTCACAACCATATCAAACCCAGCATTACTATTATTTCAAAATACAAAATACGTACGCTGGAGGTTAAAACTAATAGATCAATGGAAGGCAAATTATGAAAATCAGAGGTGGATGAAACTGGCTCAGGATTAAGTCCAATGGCGGCCTTTGATATTAGCGGTGTTGAAACTTTGTATTCTGCTAACACAATGTTTATTAACTGACTGATTAATCAGAAGCAAACTTTAACGCTTTCAGGCGACTAAACGTAATGAAGTCTTCTTGGACGAATAGCCAATATAAGTATGGAGTTACATCTACCCTGATAATGAAGTCTTCGACTTGGGACTTTACCCAGGTGGTACAGTGACAATTTTCGTAACTTACAGGGTGTTTCTTGACCAGCTAAACGACTTTACGCTTCTAAAAAGGGTCTGCGCTCCATAAAGATGTTGCTAGCTTTTATCTTTGCACCTTATCTGAGCTTTATTTAATTTTTTTCAGTACGGTGATAACATAACCACCCACAGGACTGACTGACTTTTTCCAGGGATTACCTTGCGACAATAGATACTAGTCTGCTATTTTATCATCTGGTCATATATGAGCAAAGACTGAAGTTCGCCTCTCAACTCTTTTTTTTTTTGACAGAACCATAACTCCAAAGATATCGAATAGCATACTCGACTTACACAATCATAATATATTTGACAACCTTTTAAAAATAAATAATTTATGAAGAGATATGTCTTCTTAGGACCCTGATGGCGCATTCTACATCGCCTTCACATGAAAGACTGTACATTATGTAGTGAAACTGAGTGATAATGCGTATTTTGTTACACTGACATATGCAGTATCCATGGCAGCAGATAAATACTTTAGTCAACATAGCGTTAGGTCAAGACCAACGATAGCAAACCTAATGTACGTACGTCATGAAACTCGGCCTTGTAATCGTATTAATTTGAGCAGAATATAAACCTGCCTTATCGCTCACAGCTCTTTTTTGGTGTCATTGTTGAGTGCATTCAATTATATTGATTCGTTCCTCAGCGCTTTAGACTTAATTACAGGCAACTCTCGGTTTACGAACGTTCGCTATAACGAACGCCACAATTCGTTCAAAATTTCTTAAAGTCGCCAATAGATAGAGTTCCTTATAAAACGAAATTCCAAACGTACGAGGTGCGATCGGAAAGTTTCTAGACTGCGCTTATAAAAACCCGTACACTTATCTCAGGTATTAAATTCATCCATCACCCTCGAAGTAGTTCCCCTGGGAGTGAACACAACGATCCCATTTTTTTTTCAATAAGAAATCAAAATGATATTCATGAGGTAATTTGGAGGAGACTACATTCTGAAATGCTTCCTACTTCCAGTTCAAAATATTTGTCTTCCTGTCTGATTTCTAAAAACCTGAAGATTAAAGTATACAAAACAATATTTCTTCCTGTTGTTTTGTATGGTTGCAAAACTTGGTCTCTCACTTTGAGGGAGGAACATAGATTGCAGGTGTAGAATCTGCTGACAGGTCCCATAGCCTATCCCAGCAATGTCGCACAAGTCGTTGATGGTACGACGTCGATCTTTGTGAATGGCCTGCCGAATCTTCGTAACATTTTCGGGCGTTGTGCTCGAAGATGGTCGTCCAGAACGCTCGCCCTCATCGACAGAGGTTCGGCCATTTTTAAAACATGAATGCCACATAAAAGTTTGTGAACTACCCATTGCGGACTCCCCAAATGCTTGCTTTAGGATTTCATAGGTTTCCGTAGCCGTTTTGGCGAGTCTTTGGCAAAATTTGATGCACACGCCATTCCGAAATCGCAGGAGGGTCGGTGTAATGCACTACCAAAACGCCCGTAACTAAGAAACAAATGCTAATTCGATGATGCCGGCTGGCACACTGATTCACTATGAATGTGGGCCGCCCCCCCTAGCGGCAGAAGCTCGTACTACATCCGGTTCGCCCTTTATTGACATAGTCTTGAAACTTCCGATCGCACCTCGTATAGTTAACATAATTGTAAGATTTAAATTAATAAACATTTAAAAAAATGTATTTATTATAATAATTATCAGAAAATTATTATATCATAATTATACTGAACTGTTCTTGGTTAATAAAACTAATCTAGCCAAAAAAGAAACCTTGGTTTACTTGCCACGCCGCGTAGAATGTTTTCTCGTGGAAAAGAAATCGTTTGATTTCCCCTATTATAATATAATAGGATCATCACTTGCTTTGCATAGGTTATCTTAGACGGTCAAGTGTAGTTCTGCATTTGGTGACTTAAAAATATATTTTTAAAAATTTAATCGATCATAGGTCCAAAGCGAAATAGTAGTGCTGGTGCTGATAGTGGTAGTAATAAAAGACGAAGTGTTAGTTTATAAACTAAGCTAGACATCATTAAAAGGACAGAAAGATGTCAGAAGCAGTGGACATAGCTCGTCATTACGGTGTGAACAGATCGAGTATCGTAAAAGCTCAGGAATACAAGATGCACATAACGAACGACTTGGAATGGAACTCTTTCGTAAACCGAGAGTTGCCTGTACTCTCTGTTAAAACAAAATACCCTCAAATTAGGAACAGGAATGTTTAATGCCTTCGAGGTTTGTTGCGCAGCTCCGCACAACCGATAAAAGTCACTTGTGCCGGTCTTCTTCCAAGCGCTTGGTATGGATATAACTATGCATTAACTAAGAGCTAACTGCTGCTTTCATTGTCTTTTGAAAAAGAATATGGTACTTGTGGGTTATCGGGACACATCGCTTTAAAAATAGGTTAGGTTAGGTTAATGTGTGTGGATAAATGACATATACTTGAAAGTTATTATATTTTATTTCAATAAATGACAACTAACCTAACCTAACCTATTTTTAAAGCGATGTGTCCCGATAACCCACAAGTACCAATAATATTTTTTAGAGTAACATTATAAATAGAGTAACAGTCTAGTTCATAAACTAAGGAATGGAATAATTCATAAGATGATGGAAAAAATAAATAATGTCGGCAGTGGCAAGACGTTCCCACACCCACTGTTGTTCAAAATGAATATTTATGTTTTCATACAAAACCGAATAAAGGTTATCGTGCGGGACTGCATAACATAAGAATTTCGAGGGCGTTGAACATTCACTCTGTATAATCAGAAATTCGTACTTCGAGACACGACATAGGCCTTTATACTCGACTGATCGACATCCAATTTGGCTGGCTGACTGACATTTCAGCCGAGTCAGTGGGAGCGCTCAACATATGTACATTACATCAAAAACATATTCAAAGAAAAATGTCTTTTTGTAGGTCTAGTCATTCAACAAGTTCACATTTTTCTTCTTCTCCGATTCACGGATTAGGCCAATTGCCTGTTCCGGCTTCTATGAAATCCACCTTTGATTTGGTCTTTCAGGATCCCTTCTTCCATTGGGTCTATACCAAAGGACGTTTCCGTATTCATCCTTCTTCCATCCTTTCTACATGTTCTAGCCAATCTTCTTTATGTCTTCTTATTCTGCCCTTTATTGAAAATACTCCTCTTTTATTATGTCTTCATTCCTGATTTTGTCCAACCTTGAACATCCCTTCACAGATCTTAAAAATCGAATTTCCACTCTTTGAAATTTTTCCATGTCTCTTTTACTCTTTGCCCAACATTCACTTCCATATATTAGTGCAGGAACAGACATCACTTGATAAAACCTTATTTGTGTATCTTTCCGAGATTCCCCTTTAAGTGTTCGCCTGATAGTACCACACATCTTTTGAAATTTTTAATCTTATTACCTATGTCTGTTCCCTCCAGGAACGTTATGTTACAAGAACTTTCAGATTGTTTTCCTACACCAGTGTGTGCCACAATTATGGAATTACTTCAGTAAAGTATTTTATCTGATTCCCATTTTTGACTCTGAATTGAGTTTTGACATGGGTCAAGGCGAATACGTCTGACAGAGTGAATTTCTTAATGTGAACAGGGTACGATCATTTCCCCGCTGATCCATTTCCTTACCCTCTGAAAGATCCAAAAGAAATATATGGGTTTATTTATTTACCGTGAGAAGCGTTTGTAGCTCTAGCTGTGTTTAGATCGGTGCGTCACCGCAGCTGAGGCTGTGCGACCCCCACTACTAATGAACTCCCCTCTCTCGGCTTACACATCGCGCATTTAGGTGTCACCACTACTCGCGCGACCTTTACAAGTTCACATTACCAAAATAAAATTGTAAAACTGCGAATTCTATAAAGAATTTTAATTCTAATGAGATTTTACTCAAATCGAAAGGGACACTTTAAGAGACAGAGAAGTGAGGATTTCGAAATTTATTTGTGGTTAACGAAATGACAGATTAAATGAAAGAATAAGAGATGTGGAAATATTTTGTTCACCAAATACCAGACAACAGATTAACTCGAGATAAAATCCTCTTAGGCGACCAGCAGCGTCGACTCGGAACGAAAGTCCAAAGTTGTAGATAAGTTCTTCTCTACCATCAGGGAATGATGTGATGGGTACGCACAGTTTGTTACCCTTCATGGGCGGTCAATGGCCAATGAGGAAAAGTGGGCGGAGTCAAGACAAACTT